GGGTTGGGTGGGAGGAGAGCGAAAATAAGAAAACACTGAGGAAGGTGAGAGTGATCACTTTCTCCAAACTAAATGTGGGTATCTGAGGAGGCTGCGGTGATGTGGAAGATTAATTTGGCAATCAGGCATCTTTACTGTTTTATGTCAGAAAGAGTGTGTGACAGCATGTATGCGTGTGTGTGTGTGTGTGTGTGTGTGTGCGAGAGAGAGAGAGAGAGAGAGAGAGAGAGAGAGAGAGAGAGAGAGAGAGAGGGAGCACCTGCCAGGCTGCACAAACACATACACTCCATGACATGGTGAGGACCATATGTGAAAACTAATCTCCCTCCAACAGGGCTGCCTTTGAACACAACATTCCTGATCTGGCAAAGACAAACTACATACGAGTGTGTGCACAAAATATGTGTACACAAGAGCATACGATTGTGTGCATTTGTGTGAGTTTGTGTGTGTGACTTGAAGGATCATCGGATATATGTGCGTGCATGTGTGCGTGTACGTGTATGTGTGTGTGTGTCCCTGCAAGGCTGAGGGAAATCAATACGCGTTATGACAGGAAAATGAAAGCGCTGCTCTGGGTTACAACTGAACAGAGAAGGAGGCTCGGAACACATGCACACACCGTCACCTCACATATATAAACACACAGAGTTTATGCCCAGTTGTGTAATTGTGATGTAGTTTTGATAAATAGAAAAGGAGGCCTTACATTAGAGCAATGAGTCAATTCACACTACGCTTCAGTAATACGGCTGCAAAGATAAACTCTTCTTTGAGTCACCGGTGGTCATTCACACATGAACCAATCAAATCAGACAAATTTCTTCTATCGCAGTTTTTCAATAATGTCAAATGAATTCAAGTTCATACAGCGCTTCAAATACAAGCTGAGATGATGTGAATAAGTGAGAAATAGGGCTGGGCAATAAATCAATAGCAATATGTATTACGATAGACTTGTGATCAATATCAATGGAAGATTTGTCCAATAGAATGTRAGTAATTTCACTGAACTGCACAGCATTCTGGGGGATGTAGGCAGAGGAAAGGCTTTAGCTGCCTGTAGGGTTGGTGGCTAACTCGCTTACTCTTTGGGTAAGCTAGCAACAACCTGTTGAGTAACATMCAGTGGCAGTTTCGTGGTTCGCCACTGGGCCTCATAACTGCTTWAAAATAAAAAAGAACGACGTGGAGTGAAAGGAGAAAACGAGCGCAACAGCTCGAGTGGAAATTATGGATAAAAGAGGAAAGGTCACGTCACCAGTCTGGCAGAATTAATCAAGCCTTTTTTCTCCMGGCCCTTATTTCAAACAGGTAAAAGAAAAAACTAATCAATAATTATCAGTATCGACTGATTTGAAGTGCTTATATTGTGATACATTTTCTAACCGTATCGCCCAGCCCCAGTGAGAAACAATTCTTTTTAGCCTTTAAGATTTTCCTACAGGTCAATCCACAAGCTACACACTTTGGGCCTACTCATTTAAACAGTGGTGGACACAGTTCCCCTAAAGCACTAAATGCTTTAGGGCTTTTGCTAATTTTAAAATTTATTAGTGGATTAGCACTTGCTAAATTTATAGGCTAAATTTAGAAYCACTAACTGAGGTCTATAAATGTTATTGATCAACGTTGAAAGTTAATAGCTGACAGTGAAAACTGTTGCACATTTTGTTTAAATATTTGTCACTTCTCCATTAGGTGACAATATATGAACCTAAATATGGCTGTGGAATATCAATGATAAGTCTTGAGAGAGCAACATGGCAACATGTGACTCATGTTGTCTGTTGAAGAATGTTCATGGGTTGACTGGTTTATTTTAATGCTTTAGAATTAGCTTTTGCTAAATTTTCAGTGTGTTATTGCTTTAGAATTAGGGGGCCTAAACATTGAGTTAGTGCTTTAGGGCTAGTGGAACTAATTTTTAGATTAGTGCTGCCCACCACTGCATTTAAACTTATTAGCTTAGCCTAGCCCTTCTGATGTGGCGCTATAATATTTTTACAGTGACTTGTTGTGTTCACTAGGAGTGAGAATTTTTTTTTGATCCAGGGTTAAAAAGACATATAAATCCACCTTTTACAGGATAACGACACTGCAGTCCACAAGTTATTAGGATGTGGCTAAATCACAGCATAACTGGATAACCTCTGTGGGAAGGATTAGTGTTATGATACAAACTAGAAGATCATGCCACGATACTACTGCAAAGGGTAAAACACGCGTAGCTGTTCCCATGACTTTGACTTTGTATTTTGCTCGATGACCATCGATACACTGCAACAACACTTCCCGAGGCACCATGATGACAAATCACTATGACCTCGCTATGGAAGATTTGTGCCTGCTCAAAACCATTGTGGACCTTTCATGTAATGGGGATACCACTGTGTCTGTAAAGACATTGCCAAGACCCTGCAGACCTTCCACCCTCTGGCTGTTTATTTACCCCAAAACATTCATCAGGTACAGTATGAAGGGGGCCGAAATGACATCTAACCTGCCCCTCAATATCTGGGCTAAAATCAAACTACACCTTGCTGTAGACATGAAATAGATCTGGTGCTGAGGTATTTTGAGGTATTCAGCCACTCTACCCTGTGATACTCAGCCGCATGTTGTTTTGCTGCTGTGTTTGAGCCCCCGTAGAKGGCCTGATCATTTTGTGAGCTCAAGCCGGCTAAGGGGTTGTCATCATGAGCACTTTCTAAGCTGGGCTACAGCTTACTTCTGTATCAGTAATGTGTCAATAACTAAATAGTTGGAATGAGCTTCAACGTCCGAGGGTCTACCATTTGTTCAGGACAGCTATAAGTCATGGTTACTCCACAATCATATGCAGCAATGCAAATTCTTCCTTACACACATAGACTGGTTCAGCTCTGTGACTACCTTCATGCTTCAAACATTGCACACAGCACTGAAGCAGGAAGAAGGCATCTAAGGCCCAGGTGCTGTCGTATGAAAGGAGGCTACAGGGAAAAACACACACACTTTAGTAATACACACACTCTTGAATTCTCATGCACTGACTAAACAACAGCAACATGCCCTGCTGTTAAACAACACAAATACCGCCCCTGCACACACACACACCAACTCTGTCTCACACGCACACACATAAATACAGAGTTGCCGGACAAAGCCACTGTGGCATTGTGAGATCGGGGTCCCCTCTTTGTGACAGGGTGTGAATATAAATAAGGCAAGTCCATTCAGGCCTGTGAAAGGGGGTCTGATGCTGAGACCCTTCAG